GTCAGTCAATTGTAAAGACTTACGAATTTTATAACTTAAAAAGTAAAATTTCGTTTATTGTCTTACTTCTTTAGCTTCTTGTTCAATTTCTTTTGCTGTTATATTCGTAGCTCCAACATCATCATCATCATTATCATTAGGTCGATAAAATTCGGGTTGATTGGATGCAAAATTTTTATACTAAACGAAAAAAACAAAAGAAATTACTTAATTTATTTATTCTTTCTTATTTATATATTGAATTTACATTTGGATTTTGTCTAGCTTTTGATTCAATTTTCGTCCATGCTGTATCACGATCACGTAATTTTTCTTTTTCTTTTTGTTTTTCCATTTTATATTTTTGTGAACATTCATCAAATAATTTATGATTCATTTCCATAAATAATTTTAATGCATTATATATCAAACCATGAATTGTTCTATTTTATATTTAAATAGAACAAATATATATGTATTATTCAAATAAATACACAAAGAAAAAACAGAATTTTACTTATTCCAATGTGTCTTTGTGTTTTTATATAAAGCTGGAAACATAATTGGTAAAATAACAGCAGCATTTTCTGTTATTAAACTCATTATATATTCATTATTCCAATAATAGAGTGCTCTTTCAGCTACCTAATAACAATAAGAAGAAGAAAATTTTTATTGATTTAAGATTTGTAAAAAAAAAAAAAAAAGAAATATTCACTTGAAAATGCGGACTTGATACACATTTAGCAAGTTGTTTAAATAAAGGAATCATCACTTTTTGAAATTCTGCTGGTTCAATAACATCAAGAATTTCTTCTAATTCATTGAGAAACATAACCTCTTTTGGACTATGAGTTTTTGGCCAATATTTTAATAAACCTGTTATCACCTATTTTTTAATACAAAATAAACTAAAACTAAAAATAAGTTATTTTTCTAATTAAATACCGGTTGAGTTAAACTTGGATCCTTTTCAAGAAATTGCACAATACAATATGCCAATTGTGGATGATAAACACTAAGTGTTTTTACTTTGTGCAATGGTAATAAAACTTTTATTAAAAATACTTTATGTTCTTCTTTTAATGGTAATGCAAATCCATTGATAATACTAAACAATAAAATCAATATTGCCTTCTGGTGTTTCTTTTATGATTATTTCTTTGTATGATTTTTTTTTACCTTCCAAGAATTTCAAGTAATTCAGCTACACCATTATGTCGTTCAGTTTCGTAAATAAACTAGAAGAAGAAAAATCAATTTTAATTTCATGAAAAATTTTTTTTTTTTCGAACTATTGAATATTAAACTAAAACGATCATTCCAAACGTTATACACACTGAAGAATAACACTGCCTTTCAGTATGGGATACTTCCTAGCAGTAAATTCAATATGTTGATATTTTTCTTAGAACTATGTATAGCTGCAGATCTGGAGAGAAGACCGGCCTGACGCAGAGTTCCTGCGGTTACTCTATGGACTAACTAATCACAAGAGCAGATGTATGTCAGCATGCTATTGGATGAGTAATTCGAGATAAATAGCGTTTAGTAATCTATCCAAGATCGTTTCATGGTTGGTTATACGTAGGATTGCACATCGTACTTTGTATAGGCAATATCTTAGATGATCTAGTTTCATTGTTTTATGAGATGATAGAAAGCGACGATATGGTAGCACCGATTTCCTTGGCCTGAGGAGAAAAGTTTCCAGCTAATGATCAAAGTATTTTTTTCAATGAAATGGTTTGTCATTAGAATATCTTTTTAAAACTGTCGTTTGCTATACATAGGAGCATTAAACGAACTGAATCCCTATCCGCAGTAGAAGATATTATTTGTATATTTACATTAAAATGTACCTAGGGTTCAAAATTTTAATGTTTGACCTGAACATCATGTCTAGACTTTGAAAACCTTTTCTCAAATCTTCAAAATGTTTTTGATTAAAAATTAGCTAAATAAATGAGACACAATAGAACATTCCTCTAGAAGGTTTGCACACTTGGGTATCATAGAAGAATCTGCTCGAAAGAGTTCATCATAAATGAAGGTAAATATAAAGTCTCAATTTGCCGATAAATCAAACAAATTAAATCGAGTATTCTATTAAGTCCGGATAGGGATGTGCAATTTCAGTTTACGGCGCATATGACACCAGTGTTCATTGAAACACACTGCTATTAAAACAAAAGAGTTCATATCTGAATGCTGCAATGAAAGTGGATGGTCTTCTATTGAAGGAGCAGTTTTTTTTCAATTTAAACATTTCTTTGAATTCTGTTTTTTTATCTTAACATTCAATGATTAATTTATGATGAGAAACAAAACTATATTCTTTTATAAATAAACAATTACTTTCTACATTTAATATATGTCAAAGCATAATATTTATCTATTATTGTTTACTCAACATGATATTATTCATTGATTATTTGAGAAAAAAAAAATGTTGTTGATTTATGTAAATAATCATCTTATAGAAATAACTGATCTTTTTTAACAATTGGTAATAAAAACAATCTTATTTATGTTTCTATATCATAAAACAAAGATTATTCAAGGTAATATTTTCCTTTTTTACCTTATAAAATGTATTATTTATTTGTTTTCTAATATAAGCACGTAAACCAAGAAATTTGCCATAAATGCGATGAAGAATTGTTTTTAAAAAATCACGTTCACGTGGATCTTCACTATCGAATAAGTCAAGCAACTAAAGAAATAACAAAAATTTTTTTAAAAAATCAATTTTTCTTTTTTGATGTTTTCATACATTAAGAACAAATTTTTGATCGATATATCGTTTTCCTGTATTCGGTTGAAAATCTGGTGATTCAAGAAAACGTAAAAAGAAATCATAGACAAGTTGTAAATGCGGCCAAGCAACCTCGAGATTTGGTTCATCTTCCTCCGGATCATAATCAGCACCTGTCGGATTGCTTATTGGTGGTAATGTTCGAAATAGATTAACAGAAAACTGAAAAACAATAAATAAAAAGATATTAAGTCAAGTTTCTTTATTAATTACCATTCTAACAGCTTCCGGATAAATGGGATCAGTAATAACACCACGATTTGATGTTATATAATCGATCATTTCATTTAATGCTGCACGTTTGATTTCTTTCCATTTAAGATCTGATAATGGATCAAGTTGAAAATCAAATACAGTACAGCATTGTTGTAATTTTTGTACAAATAATGATTCACGTTCATGAGTTGCCGCTTCTTTTAATAAAGGTAATTTAACAAGTTCACGATTTTTTGATATATTAAAACGGGAAGAATTTCTTCGATTATCTTTACGAATATTCGGTACACCAGCCATAGGTTGAACTTTCGTTAATGCTGTTTGAGGTGGATGAGATGATGATGATAAATTAGTATCAGATTGTTGTTGAGTTGAATGAGAATTAGTTGTACGTGAAGTTGATTTTATTGCTCCACTATTACCAATTGATGAAGATGTTGTTTTACCAGTTGACGAATCTTTTCCTTTCGTCTAGAAAAATCAACTTTTTTTTCTCAATAGAACTTTATTTTCAAAATTTTACCTCATCCGTTGTCTTTCCATCTGATTCATCTTTTCCTTTCGCTTTCGAGACAACGGTCGCCTGTAAAAAAAAAAAAAAAAAAACAATAGCAATAAAGTACTCACTGAATTTTATCTATGAAGTTGTTATTGAAATATACCTTTTTTGTTTTAGCTTCTTTATCTTTATCCTTTGATGATGATGATGATGACGACGGCATTTGTCGTAGATGAGTGAGTGCGTCTGAAAATCGCTTCAGCTCGATAGGTGGAACAATGTACGAGGAAAAATAACAATTGAATTAATTAATAAATATATGTATTTATATCTTGTTGTTTTATTATTTCGACTTTTTTTTTCTGTTTTTTTTTTAACACCAAAAAAACATATGTTTTTATCAACAAAATTCAATCATAACAAATCAATAGAAATTTTTAATTTCTAGAAATTATTCTCATCTAAAAACCTATGATAATCTATGACAAATAAACAACAAAAAACAACAACAAATGAAAGAAAAGGTGAATTTATTCGTCGATTCTTATCGGACCATTGATTTAGCAAATCATAGAGAAGTTTTTTTTATACACATCGATTTTGCCTTGGTTACGTTTTACTATAGATCATCAATGATTAGACAAAAACGGATAAATCATTTATATCTTAGATAATCATACCTTGAAACTCATCAAATAAGAACAAGAGATAAAAATAATATCTTCCTTGTCTTTTTTATTATGTTAAGTTCTTATAGGATTTTTTTATTTTATTTAATATTTAAACGTAATTAAGAAATTTATTGAATTAGATAATTTTTTTAAAAATATTCTTTTATATATTAATAAAGATAAATATAAATATGAACATAGATGGCGCTCGAAAATATAAATCCATAGTTTATTAATTTTCAATGAAAAATGGATCGTATTCAATTGTGGACATAATTTTAAAAGTTATTTATGAAATTTCCTTTTTCTTTTGTTCGAAGTATTAGTTTTTATGAAAAAAACGAAATTTTTTAAAATAACTTTTTCTTTGAAATAAAACAGATGAATAAATATGACTTAATTGTCAGTAAACAAATTCAAAACTTTCTAAATAATGAAATTTATCAAAAGAGCTTACTTACATGTCATATAACAATTATCCATTATCTAAAATATCACGTTCAAATTATAATAAATTCACTAAAAAGAAACAAAATACTCATTATATTTCAACAAAAAAAAAAATTTTAAGCATTTTTTACGTGTTAATAAATAAATGGACTTGACGATAAGAGAAAAAAAAACGCACGTCATTAATAAAAGTGTAAGAATAAAATAATACACCTACAAAGTCTAGTCAAATATCGGAAACGAAAAAGAAAAAACAACAAGCTTAGTCTATTGTCAATTAAAACTGCAAATAATCTTTTCCATTTGCTTTCTTTCTTTACTTGTTAATTCCTGACTTTTTTTAGATTTATTTGTTCTTATAAAAATCATGACTCAACAAAAAATTGATGATCTATTTTCAATATCATCATCATCAACTCGTTCAAATAAACGTTCTCGTATAAATCAAATGCCTACAAATAATCGTGATGAATTGGATGATTTATTTGAAACAAATACTTGTACAAAACGTCGACGTACAAATAATAATAATAATAATAATAATAAACAAAATACAGATGTCTTTGATTTTAATGAACCATCAACATCAACAAGTACAATAAGAAAACTTGATAATGAAAATATAATAGGGTCATGTAAAGTCAAACGTAATATTATTGATGATGATGAAAATAAAGCTATAGATGAACTTTTTAATAATGATACACGAAAAAAAATTCGACGTCAAATAAAACATGAAGAATCAACGGATATATTAGATATGTTTAAAACAAGAATAAATACAAATATTCCTCAAACAACAATATTATCAACTATGGATGATTTTAAAGTGCCAACTTCTTCAAAAAATTTAACAACACAAAAAAAAATTAAAATGTTTTTTGATGATACTGATCTTATATCATTACGTGAACAAGTTAAACAACAAAATGATATTGTACGTTTATTATAAATTTTATTTAATTAAGAAGAAAAAAAGACTTTCTTTTTTTAGAAAGATTATATTCATGTCAAACCTGTGGTGGTTACCGGTGGACAATGGTTATCAAAAGAAGCTGAGACAAAGGTATTGATCAGATGTTTATTTTTAATATACATATGAGTATAATTACATGTCTATGGAATCATTCGATAAACCCACAATCGACTAAGGAGAAAAAAAAAATTTTTAAAGATTACTTTCATGTTTTAGTCCAACTCAGGAAAACTGATTATCGTATTTCGGCTTGAAACTTATTCAAAATTTACAAAAGTAAAATTTTTATTGAGATTATTTAATTAAGAAAATATCACATTTTCTATTGTCTTCTATTCTAAGATACAAATATACGAACAGAGCTCATTTTCTCGCATATCATATTTTTTAATATTGCTATATGAGGATATAGCAATATTAGAAAATATGATACTTTTATGACGAACTAGTTCCATTTAAATTTTTATTTGTTCAACGTTTGAACTCAAAAATTGTGTTTAAAGAAGAAAAGGGTGTGGGTATTGAAAAAATTATTTTTCTTTTGACCGAGACTAGAGCCGCGACCAGTGGCTTGTTTGATTGGAATTAGGACTCGAACCGATACCGATATTTTTTCTGACTCGAACGAAACCACTTTTATGACCTGAACCCAAACTAAGTTTTTATTCTGACTCCGGACTGAAACCGATGGCATTTTTGACTAAGACCAAGACCGCGACGAAATTTTCTAAGCCAGAACGAGTGTAGGATCAAAGACGATCGATCCCGCGGGCGTCTAAATCTTTTATCTAATTTTTCTATCGATTGAGATTGATCATTATTAATAATCTGTCGAGTTTTTCTACAATCAATCATACATGTATGCCTATGGAAACCGAAAGAGTTGTTTTATTAATTATATCTATTTAGTCAACATGTAACACTGGCGAATCATCAGATAATCCAACTACTAGTGATGATATTCCCGAAGATCAACGTAATCTAATGCATATTCAATATGCTCCACTTACTATCGATGATCAATCTGGTACTAGTAAAAAATCGAAAGGATCAAAAAGTAATTCTGTAAGAGAGAAATCAAATAAAAATGTTCTTGATGGAAAATCATTTCATAAAGTAAGTGAAATATATTTGTTTTTTTCTATTGATTATGTTTTCATTATTTTAGCAACTTGTTTTAACTGATTCAATAATTGTACGAAAAGAAAATCTTAAAAGTTGTTATAATGCTCTTCTTGAAGAGATTAATAAACCACGAATACAGTCAACATCTTCATCAAATAAACAAAAAAAAACTGTAAACTAAAAAAAAAAAAGAAAATGAATTTTATCTTTTTTGTTTTTTATTAAAATTTCTTTTCTTTAGACAAAATCAAAAAATTCTCATGATAATGAAATTATTCTTAGTGACGAAGAACAAATAGACAATATCGATTTTTTTGATTTACCAACTCGAAAAAAGAAATTTTGACCGTATATTTTTTATTAATAGTGTATATAATGGCTAATTTTTTGTATAATATTCACCTTCTTCTTCTTCTTCTTTCGTATTCTTCACCTGTTTTTTTTTGTCTTTGTAGCTAAAAAAAAACAATCATTTATCTGTATTAATAGAGCGAAGAAGAAAATTTCTTTTTTTTTTTTTTTCATTTATGATTTTTATATATCAACTGGATAAAAAAGAAAGAAAAAAATAATACATAAAAATGTTCTTTATCGAATATTTATACACATTCTTTGAATTCTTTCCCGAGCCGATAAAAAAATACGACTTTTTAGGAAGAAAAGAGAAAATATTCGTTGCTTTCTTTTCTAATGGAAAGAGTTTATATGTTTTTTTGCCCTTACAAACATCGAAAAAAATCCACAAAAAGAAGATTACTAATTTATTCTTGTGTCCATAATAAATCATTAATTGTATCTTAAAGTGAAATCCACTTGCATTTGACTATACGAAATCTGTTGTCATAAGAGAAGTGTTTTTAAAGAGAGAAAGTTTTGTAAAATGCGCTCTTCGAAATGCTTATAAAAATTCATCCCTTTAGCTCATATCATACGAAAACTATTGACCGAGAAATATAGATCATTAAATTAACCGTTAATATTTTAATCATTAAAAAATGAAATAATAAACTACCGAGAAAACATATCCAACTGTCGAATGCAATATTCGACTTTATAGGATAGATTTGAGAACGTCCCTGCGAGACTAAGAAAAGCTTAAAAGAACTTGAGAGTCCATAGCCTACTGTTAACAAATTATAACCGTTTTGGTAAAATTTCTACTGACGAGAGAACCCATCCGACTGATAATCTTCGTTTAAGTTCATAGGTAGGACTCATAGTGTAGATAAAAATCTTAAAAGGGCTCGAATCATTAGACCTTTTTGCTCGAGTTATGGTCATTTCACTGAACTTTCAACCTGTTACAGGATATCACAGTAAAGATTGCAACCAGGAGTTTCGACCTGAAATTTTTACGTTTGCAAAAAAAATGTTACTTGCGAACATGGGTTTCAAACGTAGTTCCACTTTTAGGCATACGACATTTTAAGAAGAAATCATCCGTTTGAGCTGAAATTTTCAGAGTATTATAAGAACTATATGAGCTATTGTTGGGAAGAATTTCAGTTCGAAAGTCTTCGTTATGATTTTTCTCGTGATATCCTATAATCGGCTGAAATTTCAGTAAAATGACTATAACTCGAGAAGAAAGATCTAATGACATTAACCTTTTTAGAACTTTTACGTACACTATGAGTCCTGCCCATGTAGCCAATAATGGATAAATAATGCATTATTTTTTGCAGTTTCAACGCATTTCAATGAATTTTAATTCACCATTTAGAATAATGTTCTAGTCTTCAATAATTTATTATTTTCATAAAGGGGAAATTGGAAAATTATTGTCCAAAAAATCTAAAATAAGCTGTGAGAAAGTATTGCGTACATCGACATTGTTTCAACAACATTATTCCAAATTAGAAAACCAATAAAAATCATAAACTCTTTCGTTAAATGCATAACAAAATACATTTCTACACATTGGTCACTACCTAGATCAATCTCTCAAGATCTTACAAGGTTCTATACCGATCTAATACGACGAACAACGACAACCATTAGAGTGATAACCAAAGTCAGATGATTATGACCATAAATAATTATTTTAGATAGTTTTTCCATCGTTTCATAGGCGTAGCATTACGACCATATTCCACTGTGTTGTAAACAATCAGATGCCCTGATTATCCTACCGATTGATGGTCGTTATCAACAATATACGATGCAATACAATATGGTCGTAATACTGCGTCTAACACATCCACATTTGCAACTATATACGACTGAAAACTGAGTAAAACGATAGAATTTATTATGGTTTTTGACAGTCTCGGTGACTATAATCATCATTCTGAGTTCCTTGTGGAAGTCGTGAATGAAGCCTGTTCGATGCATTAACATCGTCCTAACCAATGGCCTATCGCCGGTAAAGAGTAGCATAACAGTAGCGTGAGTATGAACGACATCTGGATAATAACGTCAGACATGATATACGTCACTGCGAAAGATTTATTAAACGATATCCATTTTCTGTCCTATTTATTCGTGAATAGTCGTTAAAATTAGCTAATTGAATTCGTTCAATAGAATGAACTATTAAGATTTGATTCAAACTAAGTCATATGCTTTTGTACTCTGACATGCAGCGTTTAGCACTACATGAAGTAGAGCTGAAAAATATTTAGATATGAGAGTATAGATCCATTAGTGAGCCATAGAAATTTAGGTATAGAAATGTTTTCATAAGCATTTAGATCTGAGGATATAGACATGAAGTATATGTATGGTTGTACCAAGGGAGAACAAGCGAATGTCAAGGCTATTCTTGAGAGCCTCTTAATTATCTTAAGTGCACTGTCAATCTGTATCACAAGCATATCTGTTTGAGTTGCTTCTATATTAATATATCTGTCAACCATGTTCAAAATATTTCCGCGTACTCCACTGATGTTCAAATTTCGCAGTACAACAAATTGTTTCGAGTTTCTTCACAGATAGTATTATACAGAATTACTTAAAACTGATATAGTAGTCATGAACATCGGTAGTAGACTTGAATTATCTATGAGATTTTCGAGTATAGTTTTAGCGAGCGCTTCAAGTATCGTGCAATACGGAATTTTTGTTTTTTACCTTGAAAGTATAGTCATAGAGTGTGGTCGTAATGATATATGCATGAGTGTAGAGTCAGTGAGGTATTGACATAAGAGTATTGATACAACAATATAGTTACAATCGTAAAATTATCAATCTATAAATATGGGCACACATGTATAAGGTAAGGAGATAAATATATAGAGATAAGAGTATAGTTGTGATGACACGGTTTGGAAGGTATAGATATAAGGTATACCGAGAAGGCTATAGATAACCGGGGTATCAGTCAGAGTATAGGTGTAGGGACAAGGATAAAGCTTTGAGGCTATCATTAAGGATGTAGAGAGATAAGAGCACATGTATAGGTGAAGGGTATAGATATTGGGAAATAGGGATAGAGATATAAGTTTAGTTTTAGACAAAAGGATATAGGTAGTGGGGTATAGGTATTAGGGCATGGATATAGATTTAAATATAGATAGTGTGCTATACGGTTACGGGTATAAGGATAAGAGTATAGGTATAGGGGGATAGCGATAAGGGTATAGATATCTAAGGGTACAAGTATAGGAATGCAGTCATAAAAGTACAATGTCTGAAAGTTCCTAATGCATTAAAAAAATAATGTACGCAATTATATGATAATGCATCCATTGCGTTTTTGTTAAAAAATAATGCATTGGAATGTATATTATTTCTAAAAACCGGTTACATAGGTATCTGCGAGCTCAAACAGAGATTATCAGACGGATGAATTGCCTCGTAAAAATAAGACATTTTTGTGAAAAATTTAAAATAAAGAATTTAGACTCGATATTTTGTGAAAGAAAATACTTTGTCAAAGTAGAACACAATAATAGAATCTACTTGGAAACTGAATATCTCGAAAGAAGACGTGTGCATTTTCGTTGAATCTTCTAGGATTATTAAATTTGCCTATAGATAAAACTTCAAGTTAGAACTCTTTATTTTTTATTGTTCAAAAATACCTTGCTTTCAGTTAAGTTGAATTAAAACAACCATTACTCTTTATCAGTAGATCTTGAGATCAAATCTTTTTAAATTTATCTAAATCTTACTAAGACCTGCTTATAGCCACATCATCAAGTCGAACAGTGTCCAACAGTTTGAATACGTAAAGCAATCAATATGCATTGATAATCCAACTTGAATTATTTAAAGATCAATTAGATATCTAATCCGTTAAAAATTTGCTGATGAACATTTCTAGACTCATAACTTTCCTGATTCTATGAATCAAATGGCGAGAATTTGTAGGCATTTTGACGAGGGCACTTTACTGTACTTTTTCTCTATAAAGTCAGTTCGATGAGAACATTTCTTAGTATAGAAACATTATACAAAACGAATCAAGACTTCTAGATCGACCTTTCTATATTTGAAACGAAGGTTTATTATCATGTTGATTGATTCAACATTCTAATAATTAAGAACATTAGGAAACAAGTATCCAAATAACCTTTTGTCTTTAGTATATTAGAATACATTTATATTTCTATTGAACAAATTAATACGGATATATGCAAGTATGTCGATGATTATATAGATCTTATGATGAGACACAAATTAGATTTTGAAAGTATTATATATTAGAATATATTCTATGACAAGTGACATGTTAATTATTTATGTCATAAGGACATTTTTAAATATATTTATTTTATCTATCTTTATATTTATGGATCAGTGATGACATTATCAATCGTCGACATAGGAGTATAGTTCATATCTGTTTTCGTAAAGCCATCTATCAAAGTTTCTTATTACATCATGAAAATTAGGAATACAATAATGCTGTATCATAAATCAAATATTGTATAAAACTCTTTTTTATTTGTCTTTGTATTATATCTATTGATTCTTTGATTAAATTTATTATATGGCATTCAAATTATCAATAAGAAAAAAGAAACAACTTATTTTCAATTGAATTAGATATTCATTATTTTTTCTTCTTAATTATTATTTTAGTGTGTTTAATAAAAAAAAAAACAAGTAATTTTCATTGAAACTCGATTAACTCGAGCATAGATTGACAGGATAGAGATGTGCTTAGTTGTGTCACTTGATATAAACATGTGTTAAGTACGAAATAAATAAAAGGGGTAACTTGATCCATAAAAACGATTTGTTTTACAAAACAGACACTTTTTCGCAACATACAATTTGATTTAGAAAATTTTGAATATGCTACATTTTTTTATTTTAGTGGTCGAATTATAATGTGCGATGCTAGTGGATTTTGTACAGAAATTTTATCAAACTTTTTTATTGTTGCACTGTAGTAACTTTATTTATCTTTTTGTTTTTTATCGCGGGTCTTGAAGTTTTATTTTAAAATTTCAAATGATTTATTGAGTAGGGAGTGATTAGCGCGAAATTATTTTTATCGTATATTGATTCATATCGAATTATTATATTTCTATTAATGATATAAGCGATCATAAATATTAGTATATTAATATTAAACTCGAAGTTTCAATATTTTTTATAAAAAAAAAAGAACTTGATATTCTAAACGTCTCGGTTTTTCATCATTCATATGATTGTGTGTTTTCTTCATGTTTGAAATAAAACATGTATCATATATATTGATTTATAAAGACTACGTAGAAATCAAAATAATTAGTTATATTGACACTATCTCGAATACAAAAAAAGAATAATAATATCACATTATTCAAATAATATAGTTATAGTTTATCATAATTATATACTATTATTCACTCACTAACCGGTAATAATCATTATATCACATTCTCATGTATACAACATTCAACAATCAACTGAACCATTCAATAATTTAATAACAATGATTGTCACTCTTAAAGGTACCCTAGGCCAAACAAGTGCACTCATAAATGAACGTAAATGGTCGTAAATTGGCGTGTTATATGGTTCACTATTACGATTGTATTTCTCCATATGGTATCAATGAACAATATAATTGTTTATACTGTTATTATAACGATTTACATTTTACATTTAGTATACAATCATATTTCTTCGTATGCGATACACAGACAAACAGTCGTACTATTGAGTCATGTAATAAAGCTAAATACGATGAGATACAGAGTGTAGACGAATTTCGCCTACTGATATACTATTCCTCGGTTAATTTGATCTTAATGCGTAGGTGTCCTGTTTTTTTCCTTCTTATCCTATGCATCTATTTGTATCATAGCCGTCACATGTTAACTATGTTTCCGATACAGGTGAATTTTCGTTTCTTGATCGTATCTTTATAGTCTAGAGAATGTAAATGTCGAAGTTAATAATATATTGATAAGTTCTTGTCAATTAACAATTGTCATTAAACTGTTGAGATTTGTTAATTATCAAGACTTGACATTTAAAAAAAAAATACAATATAGACAGCATCTTCGTCAACGTAAGCTACAACAGACGTCGATGTCAATTTGACAATGATAACTTCATAGATTATATAATTAAATCTTATTTTGAGATTATATGTATGGATAAGAAGTAGATAAAATAACTTGGTTGTAAACAAGTACAAAAAAAAGTCGATTTATTTTATACAATATTAGATATTTGTGATGTCTTCAATAATTATTCTATTATTATATTTAATAATATTTGAATCAATATTTGCTGTTCGTTTATTGAACACAACATCGGGTATTTATATTGGTCAGACCGTTAATTATCGTGATATAACTATTCAACAATATCTTGGAATTGAATATGGTCGAATAAGAAAACGTTTTGATCGTGCCGAAAAAATTATTCGAGAAAATAATACAATTATTAATGCGACATCATTTGGACCTGTATGTAAACCAACAATAAGTTTATGTACAACAAATGGTGATAAATATTCGTTAACAACATCTTGTTCAGTGAATTATGGAATTTTTTCTATAATATCATCACCAAGTGAACAATGCTTGTTTTTAAATGTTTATATACCAATGATTAATAATAATAATAGTAATGATGATAATAATAATAATAATAATAATAATGAAAGAAAAAAACCTATATTTATGTGGATTCATGGTGGTTCAGGTCAAGTTGGAACAGGAAATGTATTTGATGGAACTATTCTTGCTGCTTTAGGAGATATTATTGTTGTTACATTTAATTTTCGTCTTAATCTATTTGGATTTCTTTCATCAGGTGATGAACGTTTAGAAGGTAATTTTGGTTTATATGATCAATCAATGGTACTCGATTGGATATATGAAAATAGTGAAGCATTAGGTGGTGATATTGAACGTATTACAGTTGGTGGTCATTCAGCTGGTGCACCACATGCTTATTATTTAGCAATGTCACCATTTAATCAAGGTCGAATACGTCGTTTAATATTACAAAGTGGTTGTCCATTTCATAATTGGTCACATATAAAAGCTAATCAAGCTATAGAAAGATTTAATACTGTTGTACATGATAATCAATGTGGAATGATGACAACATTTGATGAAAAATTAAAATGTTTACGTGAAAAAGATTATGATTTAATTGCTGAACATGAACATCATACATATACAAGTTCTAATCATACAAATGTTGTTATTCATGGTGATTATATGAATAGATTTCAAGAAAATTTAAATTCAAATGATACACAAACAGATATTGATATGTTGATTGGATCTACTGAAGATGAAGGTAAATTTTAAGTATAAGAATATAAAATTACTTATACTATACAATTTTTACATAGAAAGTTTCTTTGGGTTCTTCAGCTTCTTTGAATTTAACTTATATATATATATCAAAAATAAAAATGGTTCCTTTTTCTATTGAATGGTATATATAAGTATGATAAAATATTTTTATTTTTCATTTTTATATAGACAACGCTACTCTCTTATATCAACAGTATGAGGATAGCCATGACAAAATTCTCTTTCTTTTGATATGTGAAAGTTTTATAAGCAAGGCATCTTAGTCAAACATATATTTGGAATTAGCATAAAAAACTGAGCCGATTTCTATGTGTTATAAAATCTTTCACCAACTCTTATTTTCGCTCGCTAGTTCAGTCGTGATATATAGAGAGAGAGATTGACTAACGAGGGAAGGTCTCCAAGTGATTCACCGCTTTTGGCTCCATATTTTGCCCATAAATAGGGGTCTTGTAGACTAGAAGAAGCCTAAGAGTACATGGGCCCATATTGCAATTTGGCTGAGATACTCAAGTTTTACCCAAAACTCCCTGTGGAACCTTGATTTTCCAGCAAAATCATATTTTCGAATTTTGAGCTGAAACTTTGCCCAGATAAAGCCCTTAATTGGACTAGCTTGTAAAAAGAATTTCAGTACTTTTGGACATAGTATTACTGAGATATGAATTTTTCAAAGTATTCATGTTTTATACAATATCAATCGAAAAGCGCCTGTATTATCTTAGCCAAATCGCAATATGGGCCCATATCCTCTTAGGCTTTTTCTAGTCTACAAGCCCCCTACTTATGGGCAAAATATGGAGCCAAAAGCGATGAATCACTTGGGGACCTTCCCTCGTAAGCCTTTTAGTGCTGATTATAAATATACGAATTTTTTTAATACGACATTTGAGTGTTCTGACCAAAATCGATTAAATACTATTTAAAAACAAGGCAACTTTTGACTCTCATAATCATTGTACGCTTGAGTAAAGTGCCTTGCTTACAAATTAACTTGAACATCATAGTATCATTCTGCAGACTTTTAAAAAACTTATTCAATGATACACAATTCAAAGTGAATCACTGCTTTCACATGTCAACAGGAGGAGAATTTTTCCATACCCTATGCTCAGTGAATTGACTTATTGGAGAAATAATAAACTCAATTTTTGGGAGACAATTGATTTCATCGTTCAATGACCTACCTCCTTTAGATCGATTTGTTCAGAGCTATATTATTAAGCTATAAATTACTTAAAAAATAAGACTCAACTATTAATAAAAAGAAAAAGTCAGTATTAAAAATTTCACAGCTTTTATTTTTTAGGTGTCTATGTTGCTGTAATACCTATTAATATTGAACAATCTAATCAAGAAGCTACAACTGATGACAATGTGAATTTTACTAATATTTCACTAAAATTTCTTGATGCAATGCTACCAGATAAAACATGTTTACATGAAAAAGCATTAGAATTGTATGCATAAATATTAAATCTAAACAAAACAAAAATAAAAATAAAATCTTTCTTCTTTTCTATATAGATATTATATCAATAAAATTTCAAATGATTGTTCACAATCACTTGATTGTTATTGTTCTTTATTTTATAACTATTCTCGTCTTGTAAGTGATGTTTTATTTTACAATGATTATTATCGTTTTCTTATTCAACATATTAAATATTCAAACAAAACATTTGTTTATAAATATTCTTATCGAACATCTCAAGAACATCCAACACCATGTAATGATTATTTATATAGAAATAATTTAGTTGGTCATTTTGCTGAACTTGAATATACATGGGGTACACCATTATTATTTGGAAAAACAAATTATTCAAATAATCTAATGCCATTAATTAATTATATTCCATATGAAATAAATTCTATGGAAAATTATACAAATGAACAAATAGAATTTAGTGAATTAATTATTGAACAATGGTCAAATTTTATTAAATATGGTCAACCAAATAGTACAAAATTTGAAAATCAATGGCTACCCATTCTTAATATATCGAATGGAATGATTATGCATTTAAAATTGAATGAAAGTGAATTGAAACAATTTGAAATTCCAAAAAATGTACAGTTCTGGATGAATACATGTCCAAAAATAGACAATTCTATGCTTGTTAATTTAAACGATCAAGCATCAATAGATGAAATGTCATTTGCAATATTTGTTTGTACTATTAGTTTTTTTCTTGTGTTGATTTGATAAAGTTTTTATTTGATCATTTCATTTTTGTACATTGATAAAAACAAAAGAGATTTTATTTAAGCATCTTATAATAGCATTACTGAAAATTTTCATAGATGTTTTGTCTTTCATAATAGTCGAACTTTTATTCCCTGATTCCAAAAATGGAATTACTGTCACATATCACGGTATTGGTTTAGCTGGTGTTTCCCCTCATAAAAAGTGTTCCACCGTGTGATGATATATCATCACATGGTGGAACACTTTTTATGAGGGGGAATCTCAGCTAAACCAATACCCATAGCATTTTTTTTGTTCCATGCTAGTGTAGGCTTTATTATTGATGTTTTTTTGTTTCAAACTATTTATTGTTGTACGCTATTTTCCGAAATAGAAGACTTCTATAGAGAGATCGATGTAAAAAAAAACATATTGGAAGCTCTAAGGTTTCTATTGTGTCGAGATAATTTCAGTTTTTCAAACAAAGCTTCACAAATGCAATTAAATTAATCTTAGCCAGAATTAAGAATAATCTCTAGAAATTATTTTCGTCGTTGTCTAAAATCATGATCACTATGTGCTCTGCACAACTAGCACTTTGTGATTGTGGATGTATGATTTCTCTCTTCGGTTATATCCACATCCACACATTAGTTTTTACATCAGTTGAGATCAGTGCATAGAAAACGATAGATTGTGTTAGGAAAAATTCAACTCAATACTTCAAAATTCAACTCGCACATACCTGTCATTCGAATAGTCAGAATATAATTGACACAATACCCTCTTATTAAAAATTATGATATATAAATCATTATAATACTTTTCGTAGTTGAAGACAGTAAATCTATTTTTCCGGAAGTTACTTATTATTCTTTTGATGATGAAAAGTGGAAAGAAAAGTCATTTTCAATAATAATTCAAATAAAACGAAATTGATTTAATTAAAAAATTCTTATTCTAATTTCAATACACCGAAATATTTGACAAAGAAAGTCCTAAAAAGTTTCATAGACGCCAAAATATTTTGATCATTTAAGTTGGCCCTGAATGTATTTATCAAACTATATTCTAAAAATTTTATAGTTGAAAAGCATCCTATTGATTGATTATCAACTTGCACTCATAAATTCCATTTTCAAAGAAGAGCTTTCATTTGGTATAAAATTTATTATTTATGCTGTTAGAAATCCCAATACACTCGTCCTGGGAAAACATTATTACATATCTTGTAATCAAGAGAGACAATGAATAATGATAGCTATATAGAGAACTGGAAAGATAAAAACAATTAACACTCATGAGAGTTTGATTATGGAATCAATTGAACTTCAACTATATGCCTTATAAAAGATTAAATATATTGTCTTAAAACTAGTACAAACATATTTATATCAAAATTCTCATCTATATCATATTACAAATAAAAGCGATACAATTGTATTTTTTTTTCTTTTGTACCCTTACTAAAAAAGTAATATATATATATTTATTTGACTGAATCATATCATGAATAAATTATTTAATTGGATTCAACCATGTACTCATTTAATCTAAATTTCATTCATGTGAAGCAAAAGGAAAAAAACATGCAAATTTATTTACTTATTTTGTTGTTAAAATGATTTTTTTTCTTCTTGACATTATTTATTGACATATAAAATAATCACACCATTTATGATCGTTGCTTGCCAAATAACAAACAACTTGTTCGTAAAGATATACTATTAATCTCAATAATACCATAGCTTTTATTTGCTTCTTTTATAAAACCATTTGTATTCAAAAAGCTTGCTGATCAAATACTTTAAACTGATACTGTATATTTGCTTTTAACTGAAGTACAGAATACGAAACAATTAATCACGATTATGTGTATGCAAATATTTTTTTCCTATTCTGCATCATCTAGTCATATTGCGCTCGTACTAACCAATCATGTTATTTAATATTCTTCATGCATACATTTCAAAACCTTGGCAATTCACCACAAAGGGGCATCAAGGACAAAGAACATTTCTCACAGCATTCCTTTTTTAGATATGTTTCGTAGTTTCAATCGTCGTTTTATTCAACATGGACTTCTTTTTTGTACATCAGCTTTGGGCACTGGTTATTTTGGACAATATATTCTTAAGGTTAATTGAAAACATTTTTTTCTTTTTTATTTGTAATTTTGATAGTTGTTATAATTATAATTAATATTATTGATTTTAGAAAAATAAATTAAATGCTGCTAGTCCTGCATTACATACACCTGAAATATGGTTAGATGATTTTCCAACACGTGAAGTTCAAATTGATGCAATGTCAAATGAATCTGAATATGATATTGTTGTTATTGGTGGTGGTGCAACAGGTTGTGGAGTAGCTGTTGATGCAGCAAGTCGTGGTATGGTTTTTTCTTTCTATTTTTAATAATGAAATTTTTATTTTGAAAAAAAAAATTTTTTTCATTTATTTTCAATAAAGGTCTTAAAGTGGCTCTAGTTGAAAAATATGATTTTAGTAGTGGTACATCATCACGATCAACAAAATTAATTCATGGTGGTGTTCGATATTTACAAAAAGCTATAATGCAACTCGATCGTGAACAAGTAATAAATGAATAAAAGAATAAATAAATATTTGTAATTATGTATAAATTTAGTATCATATGGTTAAAGAAGCTTTATATGAACGTGGTAACCTTCTTAAAATAGCTCCACATTTATCATATCCATTACCAATAATGTTACCTGTTTATAAGTAACTATAAATAAAATGTTCTTTTTTTATTTATTTTTATTTATCTATTATTTAGATGGTATCTTTTACCATATTATTATGCTGGTATAAAAGCATATGATTTTGTATCTGGTCGACAATTACTTCGATGGTCTTATTTAATAACAAAAAAGAAAGCATTAGAATTATTTCCAATGTTAAAACAAGAAAAACTTGTTGGTGCTATTGTTTATTATGATGGACAACATAATGATGCACGAATGAATATAGCACTTGCATTTACAGCAGCACGTATGGGTGCAAATATTGCAAATCATTGTGCAGTTACAGAATTAATACATGGAGATATTAAAGTTGATAATGCTCAAGGACAACCCGAAATAAAAAAGATTATTCGTGGTGTAAAATGTTTTGATCGTTGTCAAAGTATGAAAATATCATTGAGATATGATATTGCTTGAGCTTATATGAGATAGTTAAAAGTTGAAAGGAAAATATTAGAAAATTTAAAACGATCTATGAATGGATAGGACTAGTAATGCAACAAATCCGTTCAGATCTAAGAAAAAGGCACCGGAACTATATAAGACGGCGAAAACCGTCGTCTATACGTTATCGTTTTTCGTAAAAACAAGCTGAAGGATTACAGTAAAAAATAATGCAATAATACGCTGTTTTGTAACCGTTTCTGACAGTCGGAATGAACGCTCTGAGTGAAGTCTTGGGATTTATGTTAATATAGTTTTATATTATAATTTGGTCTTAAATGACCTTAACCACTTAGATTTGGGAAATGAATTCTCCCAAAATAGAACAATTTTATTCTATTCCTGGGAATGACGAGTGTTAGGTCAGTTCAGATCAATTCGAATGAACTGTTAATAAACTCCAGAACTATTTCAGATTTGTTATATCCATAATTGAGACGAAAGTTTCGAGATAAAATGTTTGTTTATTTTTCGGCCCTTTGCAAAGTATTCCCAATGAGTCATAAGCTACAAACTGAAACCAGAATTTTGTAATCTTTTCCAATATGACCTTTGGAATTTTATCTCAGTTTTTGTTTGAGAGTAATGAGAAAATTTTTAAAGATCAATAAAAAAAACCAAATAAAATAGTGTACCAACAGGCTTTGTTAGTCCTGATGGGTCATTTTTTTTTTGAAGGAACTGAAAATGATTGGAATCGGTAGTCTTATCAGGCAGATATTTCTTTACAAAATATTATATTGGGTTAAGTTATAGGTTTTATCCATATGAAACTATAGGCACACTTTGTCAGGAGCTTCTTTCTATATAAAACGCTTTTTAATGAAAAAGTCGATTTTTCAAGAATAAAGATTTATGAAAAAAACGAAAACGGAAGTGCTCTGATCAAATATAATAAAGGTTCAAATAATACATTTTGTAGGATATCTCCTACTCTGCAAGGTGATATACTTCTGAAGGTTTGAATTTTTATTTTCGCGTCGCGAGAGTGCAACTACAAAAATATGTGGCAAAATTTTCCGTTCAAACAATTTTTTAATGTCCTTTAGGGATTATCTGATTACTCTCAAACAAACATTGTAACGAAATTTCCAAGTTCACATGCAAAAAGAGCAGAAAATTCTGATCTTAGTTTATGGATTTTGTCTCAAAGCTCTCAACTCATTTTTTATTTTCTAAGATATTTATTTTTTATATGGAAAAACCCAAAGGATGAAAGGTTTTATCCCGATTAGCGCCCATCAAGTAGATTCTTACTCGATTCAATGAGCTTTATCCTAAGACTAAGATCCAATTATAACTGGTTTCTCAAAAGATCACCGTCAAGATTGCCTGAGAACAATCGAAAGAAAAAAAAACACCTCCTATGCTCGGATAATCTATCAGATTTACACTAAAATATTCCATCAAGAGTATTTATCAAGATTCGGAACCAAAATTTTCTGAATCCTACGGACTCTAATCATCTCAAAATTAAAATATTACGAACATAAATACTAGCGAAACTTATAAAAATTCATTCAAAACTTTTCACTTTGTATAAAAATCCAACTGCTAATTCAATTTCATAGAATATTTAAATAGTGTAATCATAATTGATTAAATGCATATTCTAGATAAAGAATTTACAATTCGAACCAAATGTGTCGTCAATGCTACCGGTCCATATACAGATACAGTTCGACAATTAGATGATCCATCATTACCTAAAATTTGTCAACCATCAGCTGGTGTTCATATTGTATTACCTGATTATTATAGTCCAACAAATATGGGTCTTCTTGATCCAAATACATCCGATGGACGTATTATATTCTTTTTACCATGGCAAAAACATACAATGGCTGGTTTGTATTGAATAAAATAATTTTTTTTGTTTTTGACTTTTGATATTTAATTAGGTACAACTGATACACCTTGTGAATTATCTGATTTTCCATCACCGTCAACTGAAGATGTTGATTTTATATTAGGTGAAGTAAAACATTATCTTTCATCTGATGTACAAGTACGTCGTGGTGATGTTTTATCAGCATGGGCTGGTATTCGACCACTTGTTCTTAATCCAAATAAAAAAGATACACAATCAATTGCAAGAAATCATATTATTCATGTTAGTGATTCAGGTCTTGTTACAATTGGAGGTAAAAAAAAAAAGAAAACTAATTTATTTAATTAATCCCAATAGACTTTTCTATAAAGTAATTATAGTTGATTGTTTATATAATAATCTAAACAAATGAAGATGAATATTAGAATTTTTAATAATATTGATTCATTTACTTATAACAATGCTATAATCACTCACTAAGTTTAGGATATTTCTTCTAAAGTTCTAATATAAAAAATAAAATTCTACAAGTAATCTTGAGAATTTCTATAATTTTAATTTTCGAAAGATTTATTAAAATATTCCTAGAAAATCTTATTAAACAAGAAATTATAATGTATATTTCATGATATATATATATTTGAAAGTCAATAAAAAAAAAAAATAATATAGATACATATATCTTTAAATGACATGTAACTATAAATTAATTTTTTACATGATATTAAAAGATTAGAAAGACTTGATATAGATGCTTAAAAGTATTCAATTATATATCATTAATATAATCTTTTTATAAATCCTATATAATCAGATTAAAATCTTATTAAATAAAATCTTAATTATGTCAGGAGGAAAATGGACGACGTATAGACAAATGGCTGAAGAAACTGTTGATCGATGTATAGAATCAGCAAATCTACAACCAAAAAGAGGTTGTGTAACAAAAGGTTTAATGCTTAATGGTGGTGAAAAATGGACACCAACTTCTTATATTCGTCTTGTTCAAGATTATGGTCTTGATACTGAGGTTAATTAGAACAAAAAATCAATGTCTATCTCTTTGTTTCTATATTCAATAGGTTGCTATTCATCTTTCACATACATATGGTGATCAAGCCTATAAAGTAGCTGATTTATCATCATTAACTGGAAAACGATGGCCAGTTATTGGAAAACGTTTGCATGAAGAATTTCCTTATATTGAAGCTGAAATAAGTTATGCTATAAAAGAATATGCTCGTACAGCTGTAGATATTCTTGCTCGACGTACACGACTCTCATTTTTGAATGTAATTGCTGCTGATGAAGCTCTTCCCAATATAATACAAATAATGGCCAAAGAATTAAAATGGGATGAAGAAAAACAAAAAGTTTGAAAGAAAAATTTCTATTATATTTTAGTTTATTTAACTTGTATTTTCTGATTAAAAGGAAGAAACAGATCGTGCTAAAAGATTTTTATTAGGTGAAATGGGTCTTAATTTAAAACGTGACATGCGTCGTGATGTACCAATTAATTTAACACGTGAAGAAATGAGTTATTATATGAAATATTTTCGTCAAATTGATGTTAAAAATAAAGGATTCTTAACAATGACTGATTTAAAACGACATTTACAAGTAAAAATAATTTACGTAGAATAAATTTTTTCTTTTCATGTTTCGAAAATATTCTAGGTATCAAATAATGATATATCTGATGATGAATTTCGAATATTAATGGGTGAAATTGATCAAAATCAAAATGGAATTATTGAAACAGAAGAATTTCTTCAAGTAAAATTAATTTATTTTTTTTTAATTCATTATATAAATATTTTCATTTTACAGTTAATGAGTGCAATTAAATCTGGTGCAGTGTCAACGAGTCATTTTGTGAAAGCTGCGCGAATAGATAAAATCAAAAAAAATCCATCACCGGAACGAAGTGGTGGTGGTATTTAAACAAGATTAATTACAATGCATCATTTTTTGTATAATTATGTATCTTGTTTTTTTTTTCCTTTTCTTTTCTTTTCTTTTTTTCCTACAAATGACATCATCATGAACACCTACACAATCTTACATACAGGTTTATGCAATCAATCAAGAAAAAAACTATCTTTATATGGTTATTATATTTACTCTTTCATAAACTACTATCCAGATTCTATCATTTGTTAATTCGAAAGATTGTAAAGACAAAAACCATACACATATTTTTCCCCTTCTTATTTAGTTTTATTTTTTAGTATTCTACTTTGAATTACGTCCTGAGTGATACATTTAGACTTCTTCCTATTTCTTTTTTGTTCTTTTATTACTAGTTCTGCATTTTCTATTAAAATGATTTCCTTTACATAGTAAAAGATACTTGTACGCAAGAAGATATCATTAGAGAAGACATAATATGTGTTCTTGTCTTTTGCTTAAATGCATGTCACATTCAGAAAATGTTGAAACCTAAGATAAGTGTGTGTGTGTGTGTGCGTGTATCTGGTTTTTTTTCTCATATTTTTTTTAGATTATTTAAGTACTTATTGGAGGGATGAACCACGTGTTAAGAACAGATGGAAGACACGTTAAAATACATATGCAGCAGCTTGTTCTAATGTTTCCTGTTGTCTATCATCACAATAGGCCAGTGCTCGATGTAACAACACACGCAAATTAGACATAACTCAAGGAGAGAAAAAAAGGACGAAAGAAAAAAACCGGAGAGAAAAAAAAAAGAAAACTGGGTCGATAGAAGGAGAACAAGAAAAAGGGTTGAAGTGAGAGAGAATCTGGGCATCATAGGGTGCATTGAAAGAACGAAAGCAATAGTCGACAACGTCGCTTCAGCATCAGCAACAAGCGTTTCTCGTTTTTCTTTTTTCGAAAAAAATATATATAAAAAAAAAGTCGCGACCGACTGGTCTCTGTTGTGCTGCCAGACTGCGTCATCGTCTTTGTGTTTCAAAGCAAGAAGAAGAAGAAGAAGAAGAAGAAGAAAAAAAAATCTCAGAACAAACGCACACACGCACACACACACACAAACATATATATATACAAAATACACGCACACGTACGAAGCTTGTCATCATCATCATCGTGTGCTAGTTCGACAAACAAACAATATACCGTTTGTTTGTCATCACCTATCTTCGCCTTCTTTTTTTTATTATTGTCATCAACTAAGACAGAAATAACGAAGAAAAAAAAAACAACCTACACACAGGTTTTAGGTAAGTTATATATTCATATCTAATAATAAATTACTACTATACTTGATGTTTGTGTTACTAAAAAAAAATGCAATCATTTAGCGAGGGCATTTATCTCAATCTACGATTATTTAATTAAATTGAACATAATTTCTTGATCGATATAACTCTAAAAATGAATATATATATATATATTCGATCAACCATCGAATCATTTGAATAGATTTAAGTTGCGGAAAGCTTACAAACGATCAGGATGAAAGGAACTATGCACGAGTGACGTTCATAGAATATTTCTGATGAAAATAACTATATCTGTTTGATGTATCTCAGGTTTTTTCCAAAAACGAGTATGCGCACGAATAAGTTCTTTTTTTACGCTAGTTGATTAAAAGGAAAAGATTACGTATTAAAAATGAGCACATGAAAAAAAATTTATTCACGGCAGAAATATCGAGAAAATGAACCTATATATATTTTTTTTCTTTTTTTTTACGTATGTATATGTGCTATCTTTCTTTCTTTCTATGCTTTTTTTTTGCATTCATAAAGGTACGCGTCATCCATATTTAAGCATAGATTTTATGTTAATGAGTTTTAATGAGAATAACATGCACAATTCTCATTCCATATCCAATATCATCGGTCATATTAGATGACTCTTCTTTTTTTTTTGTTTTGTTGTGTCACATATTCTCTAGTTAATGTCTATTATTCATGTTCGATTTCAATTTTTTTGTTTTTGATTTTAGAATGGGTAGAAAGAAAATTCAAATATCGAAAATAACTGACGAACGTAATCGTCAGGTGACATTTACGAAACGTAAATTTGGTCTTATGAAAAAAGCTTATGAATTAAGTGTTCTATGTGATTGTGAAATAGCGCTCATTATCTTCAATTCGTCCAATAAACTTTTCCAATATGCATCAACGGATATGGACAAAATCTTGCTCAAATATACGGAGTATAACGAACCACATGAAAGTCGAACAAATAATGAAATTGTACAGGTAAGACGAAAAGAAAAACAACGACATTATTAATATGACTGTTACTTCTTTTTTCGTTTTAAATAAAGATTCTTCATAAAAAAGAATCGAAACATCTCGATCAAAATGATAGTGATAATGATATGGAAGATGAAAGTGCTAATGAAATGGATAGTAATCATCAACTTCCATCTCATCATCATCTTGATCCTACAATAAACGATTCAAGAAAACGTACAAATCAAGTAGTTATATACCAATATAAAAAAAAAAAACAACAGAAAATAATCGAATTTTTTTAACTTAATTTTCTTATAAATAAATTTTAGTCTCAACAAGCTGGTAATTATCATCCATCATTATCAATGGTAAATGGTATTGGACAACAAACAACACAACAACAAAATTTTTTATCAGGTTAATTGATCATATTAATTTAAAAGTGTTATTTTATATTTTTGTTTTTGTTTTAAATCTAGTTCATGGAACAACTGGCATTGATGCATCCTCTTCACCATCACCTCAATCAACATATTCACCGCCAAGTTCACCAAGTGAATCCCGTACAAGTCCAAATTCATCATCTAAACAACAATCAACATCAAATATAAATAATAAATTTTCAATCAATTCTAATAGTGGAACTCCATTAATAGCTGCTTCATCACATGTCACATCTCATCATAATGATTTGACAGGTGGAGGAGGTGCTAATAATCGCATCAATGGTAAATTTCATTTTTAATTCCTTGTTTATTTATGTTAAGCTATAATGACAATTTTTTTTAGCTGATTTTACACTAAATACAGGTAGTGGTAATGGTGAAAGTAATAATTTTCTTCATTGGCATCCATCATCTCGTTCGTCCTTGGCAGCTGCACTTCAAATGAATCCATTACCATTAGGGTAAATCATGTTCTTTAGAATTATCCTGATATTTCGAAAAAAAAAAGGAAATCACAACATATTTTGTATTATTTCTTATCTAGTATGATGAATTATGATATGCAGCAAGCTCTATGTGCTCAATCATCGGCAGCAAATAATAACAATAATAATAATAATAATAATCCAACTGGTGTTAGTCCACATTTATATTATCAACCACAACAGCATCATCATCATCAACAACAACAACAACAGCAACATCATCGTCCGAAAAATGAACCATATTCACCACCTTTATCACTTCCTCCAAATAGTGCTCGTTCATCAATAAATGATACAAATTCCGGGCCAAATCATCCGATATCAAAAACTCCTATACCTCAACAACAACGATCAATTGATTATATAAATTCATCTTCGTTATCAGAACCATCTCTTAAACATGCGCGTTTTGATCCACCAAGTTGGCCAAATGCAACTTGAAAACGACAAAAGAAAAAAAAAGAAAGAAAAAAAAAACTTTCATCATTACGTATAAAATTTTGCTCAAATATGAAGAAGAAAGAAAACATATTTCATACTCATCTATTGACCAAGACAAACTATTTGTTTTTGTAACTCATGAAAATAATGAATGATTACAAATGTGTCATTCTTTTTCTCACTCTTATTGTATTTAAAAAAAAACAATGTGAATACCGGTGTATGTATTTGTATGTCTAACTGTTGTTGTTTTCTTCAGAGTTATATCTATATTTTCTTTTCTTTTTCTTCTTCTTTTTTTTTTTTTTTTGGTGTTTCCACAATAACAATGATGTTGTTTTCCTTTCGTATATGTATATTCAACAAACAAAAAAACAGAAAAAAAACGACAGTGATCAGTTTAAGTATACCTCTAGGTGAGATATTCTTTTGTTTATTGTGTTCTACTTCTTAATGTATGTCCGTTTAATGACATTCAGTACAGATCAACAAGAAAAAAAAAACGAATTTCATCATTTCATATAAATCAATAAACATAAAACAAAAGAAATTTTATTTGATAAAAAAAAAAGTCTAGAGAAAGGTTGCGAATAAGATAAGTATGAATGTTACAATAACATACACTCAAATAAATTTAATAACAAACAATTTTTGATATTTTTATGTGGCAGGTACATTTAGTAATGTTAACTAATCTAAATAACAGATGACTTCTTCATCATATCAATAAGTATTTAGTAAATAAGAAAGAAAAAGAAAGCTAAGTAATTAATATTTTTAAAAAGTTAGTGTTGACATTTTCTTTTCTGATAACCAGATGGAAAATGTCTTCGATAAAATTATTAACAATGATGATAATTATTTCGCAGCCTTAGCTATAATTTGAATTATATAAGAAATCTAAATTATTAACAAGTCATCTCATGTCGCACGTTTGCTTATACTATCACCGGTATACCGAAAAATAGATTGTCGGTTGAAGAATAACTATAAGTATACCACGGTAGAATGACGATTAGAATATAACCAAAAACTTAAGTATCAAATTATCGAAAACTTTTCTCGAGTTCGAATCGCATGGGGTTACACTTTTCTTTTGCATGTTAATTTTAATAATGTGATATTGCAATCAATTGTATATGATAGTATCGTATGAAAGATTATTGAAGTAATGAAATGTCGTGTTTTTTTTTTTGTTATTTAGACTCATTGCATTATTTATTGAAGTTCTCATATTTGTCTTTGTTATGGTTTTAATTCTGGTTTACATGGGTACATTAGATTGAGTAAGATGAATCGTTGTGAAATGTAAGATGAACAACATGTTGTTAGACATAGTATTTTAAAAATTTATTGATTTTGTTACAATCAATGAGAAATAAAAAAGAATTTTTCAAATTTTATTAAAAAATTAAGTCAATATTGACAAGAATTTGTTTGGTACTCAATTCCATCTGTTTTTTGTTTGTGTCTGAATATTTTATTTCTTGTTGTGATGATCGAAATTTTTATTCTAGAATTTTTTAATAAAAATTGAAAGTGAAAATTATAAGTATCTAGTGTCGTAGTCAAATATTCTATTCTCGATGATTTAACCTGCTCTTCAGTACCGTTTTAATCTTTCGAAAATTTGTCATTCAAAAAGGAAAAACTGAACCTCGATTTCTTTCCGAAAAAATTCTGATAAATCAACGTATTTCGATTGATTGCTGAATTGAAGTTTTTATATTTTCACTTGATTCATAACTAGTCTTTCACCATCGATTTGTTTATCAATATATTCATGCCTTTTTTTTCTCGACTATTCTGATCGCTTTTGAAATCGTCAACATACCGCATCTTACTTTTTCCGCTCTTTTGTTGAAACAAAATTATATTATAGAAAGTCAATTCCATTGTTCGTAAAAAAATAGAAAATGAACTTCCTAATAGAAAGAAGAAAAAAAGACTTTTTTTTTGAATCAGAAATAAAATACAAGAAAATCAACATGTCTTATTATTTTCTTTCGGTTGACATATTCTACTTACCTCCTACATACATTAAGTATGATTCTCTCATCGTTTTCATTATAGCGAGAAGAAAATTTATGCCTACATGCTTATTAACACATTTGAATGACATAATTATAACGTTTGTTTTTAACTACTATTTCCGTCAATCAACGTTCATTACATACTTATCAAAAGTTTTAGAGTTCTTTCTTTGAAATTTTCTGTTTCTCGTTTTTTTTTTCAATAAACGATGTAAACAACAAAATTTTCTTATTAATGGAAATTATTTCAAATGATAAATTGAAAATGAATTTTATTTCTAAAGAAAATAATTAAATATCTGTCATAATCCTTAGAAGAGTCTAATTTACAATAATCATAATTAATGATAGAGATAACTGAATAAAAAATTATCTTGCAAAGAGAAGGACATTTGTACGGAAACTATAAAAATTCATTGATGGATCTTCTGTTGATTTATGCGTTAATGAGTGGTATGAATTATCTAACGAAGGAAGTTCGCCAATTGGCTAATTACTTTTGAGTAGAAACTATGTGTATCATGAAGCACTAAATGAACTATGAATATTTTGATAATAATTCACACTCTCAGATTCTTGTTGCAACACTATTGTGAATATTTCATATTTTGTCGTTGTTTCTATTTTAAGATATACAATCTATGGTAAGCATATCGTTTATTTCAGGATAGAATCAAATAACAAAAAATGTTTAAACTTTTATAATAAACTATTTTTGGTAATATCGATCTCTATACAAAGTTTTAAATCAATATTCCTGGAGCGCGACATTCTACTAAAGAATTTAGTAAAAATTTAATATATTTTCGTAACAGACAGGTAACACACCGAATTGTTGCAGAGTATTTATAGCTCATCAGTGTTTCGGCATGGCGCACATAATCTAGACTAAAAAAAAAAACAATGATTAATCAGTTTGAAAACTTTCCTCGGACAACTCTAATAAATAAGATATTGACATATAAGACTAATATATAAATGTTAAATGAAACAGACATTGTTATTTATTCAATAATGTATAAATCTGAATATAACAGAAAAAGACATAAGAACTTTTCAAGTATTTATGAATTCTATTGTTTCAGTATTACTTAAACTTTTTCATGTTTCATCATTGACTACAAATGTTTGTTCTTGTAATAAATTCATTCTTTAAATGAAAAAAAAAACATAATATTAAACGAAAGAAAATAAAACAAGTGCTTAATTATATTTCAGTCTTAACTTAATTTCGATTATTTTAGAATTCTTTTTTTTTTTTCAATCAAACAACAGAAATCGATAAAATTTGATTTTCATTTTCTTTTCTATTCATATCATCAATTGTTGTAATTTGAATATTTGTATGTGTTAATACAGTAGATTTTGACAATTTTTCTTCTGCATCATTGTCTATTGACTGTTTCACTGTATCAAGATAATCCGTATGAGATAAATGAAGACGTCGTAATTTTTGTCGATATCTTAAAGCACATTTATATGCACGTTCTTCAACCATTGCTTGAAGATCATCATGTCCGATTGTTGTATATGTTTCATGATCAGCAAAATAACAACGAAATATTCGTTTTAAACGTTCAACATCAGCTAATTCTTCTAAAAATAAGATTTATTATTAGTTTTTTTTTTGAGAACAATATATTAAATTATATTGATTTCGATTTTATACAAACGATAAAGTCGGTTTTTATTTGGTACATCCCATAGTGTTTTTAAAAAATGAACAGGTAATTCTTGACGTTGTCGTTGAGTTTGTTTTAATTGTTGACCAAATAAACATATTATACTCAAACCATAAAAACCAATATAAGTTATAATAAATAAAGCAGCACCTTTATTACCATATTGAATATCATTGAACCAATTGTCTTCAACAAACGATGTCACATTCATTTATCTAAAATTTGTTGTCTATAAGCACCAGCTTGTATAACTTTATGATTATTCTTTGAAATAAAACATAAAAGAAAAAAAAAAAAAGAGCAAACCAAACGACATATGGTTATTTCGTATTTATATTTGTATAATGCATTTGTTTCCATCATTGACTTCATCATTTTTTGAATTAGATAATATTTGTGTTTACGAATATGATTTAACATAACAGAGAATAAAATATTTTACAAAATTTTTAGATAATAGAATAATCATTTTTCTTTTGCTTTTATTCAAATTGTTTAGTTACTAATGAAACATATGCGAAATCACTTGAAGTTTTAAAATGATGGCTGCTAGTGATAGTCGAAATACGTGAGATCAAATTGATTTGACTTTACACTGATGAATGGATATTAATTGATTGTGTTTGGAGTGTCTAATAAATTCTGTGTTAAATTATATTGATAGGAAAATTCTATTCGTCAAATTTGAAGGATTGGCTACGATAAAAAGTGTTAAACAAGAAAATGAGTAAAATTATTTATCGCAAGCGTAGTTAGATTATTTCATACTATTAAAATCAATGACAACCAGAATAGAATGCTGCTAAGGATAAATTTATAAACTTCATGTTGTGTAAACAAGGTTTAGATCAGATAACATATTCTTTCCATGTGATTCAAACTGGACAAAAATACCAGTAAGCCGTCGGTAGACCATTTAGTTTAATGTGTACTATATCGGTGATAGTGCGAATAAATGTGTAACATAGGTTAAAACATGATATTCTTGTAATATTTTGCTATTTTTTTATCATTGTTCTTTAAGAAAATATCATCCACTGTCCAGACTGAAAATTTCTGAATTTTTTATCTTTTTTTTTCTGGTTTATGTACGCTCCGAGGTGTTCGTTATCTACTGGACATATTTCAAGAATTAGTATATAAGGATAAAAGGCGAAAAATGAGAAAAGATAGAATATTTTTGCTCAAAAAAGTACATCAAAATTTATACATGATATCGCTGTTGTTAAAAAATGAGTCTATGGAGAAAAGAATGAAAGTTGAGGATCGCATCTGTTTCTCAACCATAGTCATCAGATCGAGCTGAAATTCTCCTGTACTTATATTCGATAGTGTTTTGGGCGTTTTCTTTTTGTTCCTTTAAATTATGATGTGCCGCTGATTTTTGTTAAAGTTTACAAAAAATGCTTCAGTTTAAAAAAAACAAACATTTTAAGGGTACGTTCAGTATTTTGATCTTTTTATTCGAATGGAAAGATATTTAAAAAAATCACAAAAAATTACAAACTCCAACAGTGTCTAACGTTTGAAAGAAAATATGCGACTCTATTAGATGTACTTCAGCTAAGAAAACAGAATGATTAGATAGTGACTTTTGCTTTACGCATTGAGATCGATCTATCAAGAAAGTTTCAATATTTTCTAATGAGCTATTCTCGAAATTCTTTCTACTCCCAAGCACCAAAATCGATTTCTGATACAGTGCATAGAATTTCCGCGATACTTTTTCTACACTTCCGATTCGCATTATTCAAGAGTGTTCTGAAGATTAAGACTCATAATGGGTCCCCGTGTTCGAACGAACTGTTTTCATTATATGTCAAAGTCTAGAAGTAAAGATTGTTGTATTGGAAGAAGAACTGTAGACCTCTTCGGATGAGAGAAAAATATATATTTTTGATTATTACTTTCTTCATTTTCGATAAGGTCGAAACTTCTATAACTTTGAATTAATACCGGAGCTTTTCCAGATCTGCAAGATTTTCTAAAAAATTAAATAGATTCTATTTAGAAACATTTCTTCCCTTCATTCGGAGGTGTATCAAATGTCCTAAAAAACAACTGCTGCTCTCTATACCAAAGCATAGTGAAAAAAATTTACGCTAAGTTCCACCAATGATGCTAAAAAAGTAAAAAAGTTTTTTTTTCTGCATTTTATCTATCTACAATCGGACATCAACATGAAGTATGGTCGTATCATATATCAATCGTTAAAATTAGTCAAGACTCGTAGAAGAGTGTCCCTAGTAACACATACATTGACTGGTAAATCCATGTGGTGATAATGATCTAAAAAATTATGATTCTATATAGATTTACCGGTCCGATTAATGGTGAAAATGACATTGCGATGAAATAATCAAGAGACGATTTTAGCTGATTTGTTCTTGTTTATTAATGCAATCCGAAATTCGTTTATGACTTTTTATGATTTATAATTTATATTCTACTCAAACGTTCTTCAACAGTTGTATTGACTAATGATTATCATGTAGTTTCCCAACTTATAATGAAGCCATGAAATAGAATATTACATGATGTTTGTCATTCTTTTTGGGAAATGATCGCTTTAATATCTGGAAATAAAAACAATACCAAATAAAATGCTTTTCATAACCATCCAGCCATTCGTGCTGCAAATGAAGTCGTCAATGAATTATGATTTATATCATATGTCGGAAATCGCTGACGGATTGCGATTAATCATCCAAACTGCAATGATTTTCATGACATAAGTGTACACAGTTTTTCTTTGATTTTTGCCCAGGTTCACTTGAGAATATTATAATAGAGAGTTTCAAAAACTTTTAAACGATTTCTTCGAAACCGGTCAAAAGTGAACAATTTTTCTTTAATGGATATTCAAAGTAGATATCTTAGGCGATAGTCCGATATGTTTAACATCAGAAGAAATGAATATGTTTTAATTATTTTATTTGTCAAGAGTTTGAGTGTTCTCAAAATACTAATACTATTACTAACATCAAACATTTTCAACAAGATCAAATTGACTTTGAGAATTGAAAAAAACCGTGACAATTTAAGATAAAAAATTTGTTTAATCTGTTAAAGTATATATTTTGAAAAAGTAATTCATTTTTAGAAAAATTAAATTCTTTAACTGTCAATTAATAATACGAAAGTAATTTGATTAATAATTCTTTGTTTTTCTTTTTCTTAAATATTTTTGACATCATCGTTGAAAAAATAAATTCTTGCCATGTTAATTTAATTTCATAGAATAAAAAGTAAATTTTCTTCGTTTTGTTTTATATACATACATCATTTAATATATTTTGATTTTGATCAATAATAATTGAATGTATATTATTAGTTGTTACTAATGGATTTGATAATGAACGAAATTTAATATGAATTTTTGGATAAAATGAAGATAATTTTAATGAATATCGATCACGATTTAAATGTTTTTCATCTTGTTTTTTATGACTAATTAAAAAAACACTATTTAATTGATTAATACTTTCAATTTTAACTGTTGTATAACATTTAAATTTAAATAAAATTTTCGATGGAAATAATAAAATTAAATATAATATTGGTTTAAAACTTATACCAGATAAAATTATTTGAGCAAGTGTACGACTATTAATCATATCATTACTATATGATGATAGAAGTGAATCAAATATTATTTCAATTGTACGATAAAAATAAAATGGAAGAGATGTTATTGTTAAACAAGAAAAAATATATAACATATAAAGGGATAATTGTTGTTCACGAAGAAATGATGATGAAATTTTTCTTGCTATTAAACAACAAGATAAACGTATATGTAATGAGATTTCAAGAATAAGACCTAAATAGATTAAATTTATTATTATATTGAAAATTTGAATAAGAATTTCAAATAAATCATTTGTTAGAAAATTTTCAATAAAAAACATTTTCAACTTGAAAACTGATTTCAAAAGCATAATATAAATTTTGATGAAAGCTTGTCTTTTTTTTTATACTGATATCTATTTTAGTCTTTAGTAAATATTAAGTCTCGTAATGATTCCAGTATGTTCTTTCAATTCACCTCTACAAGCATTGAATCAAAAACTATTCTACTCTAAGTTATCATCATATCAACTGAAACTAGGTTTTTGTAGATCGGTTTTCTATGATGAAAAAATTTTTATATGAAAATCCGTTCAGATTATAGAGAGCATTGTATATAGAAAGCTTTTGTTTTATTCATTTCAGAATGCGTATAGACACTGTCACAGAATCAAAGAGAAAATTACACTTGTAACGGTGATTATACTCGTTTTCAAACGAGAAAAAAATAGTTTCCTATAATCTGAACAGATTTTCATGTAAAAATTTTTTCGTCATAGAAAATCGATCTATAAAAGCCTAATTACATTTGACATGATGATTTTCGAAATTGATATGGTGGATAACATGGAGCAGAATGATTTGAGAGGCTCCGTTTGTTAGTTTATTTGAATATGTCTAATCGATTACACATTCTTGAACAAGATCTGAACTGACAACCAAGAGAATTTTATTAAACTAAAGATTATGAGCAGCTTTTAAGAAAAAGAGAGATGCTCCAATCAGAGAGCATTGTGGCAATCCACTGTTTTAATTTGTTATTCAACGAGTCTGAATCATCATTGTAGTACATATTCACTTGAAGCAAATTGGGTTTAAGATAGAAAAGGAAAAGATTATCTTCTAACGATGTTTCTCATCAATTTCGAATATTTGCAATTGAAGTTGACCCATTATAGTAATCATCGGGAGCACTTCCTTCCGCATCTGCAATTTGTTACATAGTGCATGAAAAAAAGATGAAATTTTCCGCAAAAATTCAACAACTCATCTTTACTTCAAATAAAGTCTATATAATAGTTAATGTAAATAAAATGCCTAGTTAGTTCCTGGTGAGGATGAAGAGTGTGAGTGTTTAAAATGAATAAGTACTGTTTTGATAATAATCTAAAGTCACTCATTGTGAACTTCCTGTTATTTCAGTCTATGGATGATATTTAAATAATTGTTTTTAGGTCAATAGACTGAGAATGTAAATATATATATAAGTGAAAAAATGCATAAATAAATTTTTAAATAACATTTTACTTTTATTAAGAAAACAAAATCCATTCAAAGTATTTCTTTCAATAGTGCATTGTTTTTTTATGGTGTCTGTAATAATTGTAAGTTTGTTTTCTTTTCGATGAAATTGTTCATAACTACTCTACAAATTAGTAAGTGTCATATAATTTTCTTGTGAATGATTACAATATATTTGGTCATATATATGTTTTTTTATACCATACTCGATTATTCTCAATTTTCATTTATTCATCGATTTGATATTTAGAGAAAACTATTCAAAATTAATAATGATATATTTATGATTCATTTATCTTATCGAATTGTTTAGAAGTTATTTACAAAAAAAGTACACATATTTATCAACCAAGTAGTTAAATAGCCTCATGAATAATCAGTTGCTTTGGGATAAACTGCATCAAAGACGTTGAAGTTATTATTTTCGCTCATCTAATAATTCTGAACGATGAACAAGTATTTAGAAACATGCTCATATAAATATTATAGATTCAAATCATATCAAGAATAATATAATTTAATCTAAGTCGGAGAAAATGACATTTAGAAAATTATGTGCAAAAGAATAAATTTCTTCTCATTACGATAAGAATCAAATTGCTATCGATCAGGAAGAATCTTTATATAGTAACAAATTCAACAGTTGAGCAAAATGCAATCTATTCATGTGAAAAAGACGTTGAAATAAGTGTATCAAAGCATTAAGCAAATCTCAAAAAAAATTAAAAAGTTCAAAAGAATGAATGACACTAATCAATATTTGATATTTAAATATGACATTTTTGAGTATATGTTTGAACTTTGAAAAATTTTTCAATGATTATTTACTTACCAATAAAATGCAATGAACAAAGAAGTAAAAAATCAGCTTGTATTAAATATAAAAGTCGAGCTGTAAATTTAAAATTATTATTTGTTTGTAAATAACATATAATTGTTTGTTGAGGTAAATAATCATTATTATTATTATTATATTCTTTTAATTTAACATATGATTGATGAAGAGTTGTATTCATTGATGATGTTAAATATGTTTCTTTTGTTTGATTTGGTCCACTATCAAATATTGTTGGTAAAATAAAATTATTTATATTTGTTTCACCCCATAACCATAAACCATCAACAGACCATGCAAATGCTATGACAAATGGTATCAATATACATAAATCAGTAAAAAATAATTGATTAAATGTTGTTGTATTAAAAATTTTTGATGGAAATCTTTTATTTAATATATAATGATAACGAAATAAAATTGATATTGTTAATAAAGGAATAAAATGAAGTGTAAATTTCCATATTAAAATATGAAATGAACATAAATGAAAATGTGATACTAATGATTGAAAATAATATTTTTCATCAACACAACTTATTATTGCTGATAAACATAATAAAAGATCATTACTTGTTAATATTAATAAAAATTTATATTTTTTATTTGAAAGTATATGAAGCGATTTTTGTTGTTCACTTTTATTTCTTTTTAATTTTCGTTGTTTATATCGTGAAATAATATATGAAAGATATAACATACAAATCAAATTCGAACAAGTACCAAATATACTTATAATTAATGTTAATGTTGAATGAAAAAGTGGTGAATGTATTATAGTTATTGGACTAGAATGTGTTTCATTTATGTATCGTTGCGAAGAAAAGAAAAAACTGTCATGTAATAACATTTTCGTTTTTATAGATTTTTAGAATATGAATATATAAAAATACTCATTGATATTTTATCTAGAATAAGATCGTTACAATAAAAACAAAAAAAAGAAAAATTCATTTCCGTTTTCTTTTTTGTATTTTCTATTCATAAATATTCAAGGCATTCTTAATATGCAATAAAACAAGGACTCAACAATAATAAAAGATATATTTATAAATGAATGATAAGAAAAAAAACACAAGATTTGTTATCAAAAACAAAAATATTAAAAAAAAGTAAAACAAATCTATCGACTAGAATATAAGGTATGAATAATACGTGACAAATAATGAGTTTATTTATATAGAAAAATTTACTCCTTGATCTCAAAAAAAAAATCTATGACATCAACAATGATTGTCTATCATCATTAATAGAGAAAAACGTGGGTATTTTGTTATAAATATGTCTCAAATGGCTTAGAAAATGTTGATAGGAGCTATTTATATAGGTTATTCTAACCAATCAATTGCACCATGACAAAATCTCTTATTTTATCATAAATAGAATGAATAATGTATCTCGAAAAGAAAACGAAGAAAATATTTAATGTTACTGAAAAAAAAAAGAGAATAATCAATCAAATAACAAGATTAGACATAAGTGGTCATATATCTGAAGATGATATATAAACTGATTCTCAACGTCTTGTGTCAATTTGATATATAAACTAGTAAATTGTGAAAGAACTAGCCATATAATCCATACGTTTTTTTTCTTTGTTTATCTATTTAGAGAAAAAAGAAACTAAAGAATAAAACAAGCATCTATTCGTCATTTCCGTCCCGATTGACATCAGCCTATTATTAGTATTGAGACAAACATGAGTTACATATCAAACTGAATCTAATCCTAAAATAGATGATAGTAAAAAAAGCATTTCCTGATATTCATTACACATGCTTTTGATCATCTTTTACAAAATAAAATAATGCATATAACATATCGTAAGAATCATCCTAATGAAACATTTAAATAACACATGCATTCAGCTTTAAATAATTGTTTCTTACGCCTATTTAACACAATACACATTATTGCTTATTTTGATAAAAATGTTCGAGTAAAAATAAGCGAACCCTCACAATCAAATTTTTATTTTTAATTCATCTATCTCAAACATATCTATTTTAAATTCTTATTAAAATAACTACTCAGATGTCTGTAACAGATATGAAAATTGTCTCATTTTGTGCTTCAATAAATAAGCAGAAATAAATTTATCAAGTCACAACTGAATCATGCCATTACCTGTGTAGCAACTGAAGCCAAATAGTAATCATCATTCATCATTCATCATATTTGTTACCAAAAAAAGGAAAAAAAATTCTCTTCTGATAAATAATAGCCTATCAATGATTTTACTCATATTCATTTCACATTTATCAAATGAAATGTCTAATAGAAAGAGAGAAGAAAAAAAGAAACATATGGTTTAAGTAGTTCTCTTTATTTATTTTCATTGTAATCATAAACATATTCTTTTCCTTACTTTTGATTAATTTTTCATTATTTGCATTATTCATTTTCCATACGGTTAATTGTGCAACAGAAAACCGTTTTCACCTAAAACGATTAGTAAATTAAAAAAAAAAGAAAAACAATCATGTTTGGAATTAGAAAACAATGGTTTTTTTGGTAGCAATTAATTCGTTTGCTTAGCTTTTTTTGTAATTAAAATGATCCGCTAAAGGATTGCAAGCTTCTATTAAAATTCATATTACGATATCGTTTTATATTATATTCATCATGAACTATAACAAATTTTGTATCTTCTTTTAGTTCACAGTCCCTATGTGTTTTTTTACTGAATTTTATTCTATTTTGGCAAAGTCGATAGTTGGAAGTATTATCGATTTTATATGTAGAATAGGTTAACGGTAGAAAAATCAGAAATGTATTATCAGACGATTCTAAATATTGTTGCGATGTGTACATTCGATTAAAAAAAATCCTAATTTTTGTCCAATGTGAAGATACTAAAATTAATGAAATAAGAATAATAAATTTTTGTCTCTTTGATTACATCAATGAGCATTATGGAATTTCATCAATCAAAATTCTTATTTTCTTTATTGTTTTATAATGATAATCATCGTATGATAGATCATCGGATGTTATGAAATATATTGAGAATCACAAGTTCTTTTTTAGCGTTGCTAAAACAAGAAAAAAACCTAATTCGATAAAAATGTGTTCTCTTCATAGTAGATAATGTCATAAGCTAATCTAAGATTGACGACGAATAGATCGACATGTTCGAAGCTAACTACAATTATTAGTAAATACAGAGTTGAATGTTATTTCATAATTCACATCTTAGAATAATCAATAGTGAAAGTAAACTTTAAATAAATATCCTTGTTTTTTTCTCTCTATGAAATAATTTATAACAGTCGAAAAATAAATTGTTTGTCAATATGAAACAAGGTTCAGATGATTAAATCATAGAAAATTAGTCATATAATATCATTTCAAAGCTTATTAAAATTTCGAATTAGTCTTATACATAAAATTTATCAAGGTAGTCAGAAATCTTGCAAACAGTAATAATCAAACTACTAATACTAATTAACAATAAACTATCGTGTTAGAAAGAAAAATAGACCTTGATCAAAATTGTCATTCATTAATATTTAATTGAATTTCTTTCTCAACAACAACAATAGGAAATTATATTGATATAATTACATTTCTTTATGAATAATACGATTAATATTCAAACAATAAAACAAGATGATAAAAGTATCCTATTTTTTTTAGAACATTCTATATAAGCTGATAGATTATAATTAGACATGAAATACTACATTTATACAATAAGAACGTGAAATATTCGAATATTTTGATAGCAAGAAATTTTTATAAAACCAGCTTTTACTAAAATAAAGACTCTTCTCAAACTCAACAAATCGATCTTGAACCAAATACATTCAAATCACATGAAATTTTCAAGATATGTTGGGATTGTAGTGAAGAGACTATGATAAACTTGTCAGTCTTATGTCACGATATTTTTTGGATATATTTAACAAACGAAGGTAAAAAATAACTTGTTTGACAATCCAAAATTCCCTATGGGCGTTCATTCTGTACATATAATTTCGTTTTTGTTTGAAAGAGGATGTCACGCAATACAGGACATGATAGAGTCCTTCGATTTTAAATTCTTCATTTTTAAGACGGGAAAAGAAATAAAACGTAGTGTCTCAAAAAAACTGAAAAAATTACTCTCTAATGATATGTATGTACTTTTTATTTTAGTAGTAAGAACAAAGCTTAATTCGAAAATGGGAGCTCAATCATACTCTACATCTTGACATGCTCTTTTTAAAAAAAGACGTCATTGACTACAACGAAGCTCCCTTGAGAACTCTGGGATGCGTGATTAAAAAACAAAACGTAAATACGGAAAAGACAAAACCAGCTTTCCTATTTTATCGGAAAGAAAACATACCTTTCAAGCAGAAAATGAAGGAAATTATTGAAAAAAACCAGGTGACTAATAACAACAATCATATCATTGTTGAAAGATCAGAGACTGGACTGCCTTTCCATGCATCTATTTCACTGCTCGTGTTTTTGACGAAGATTGACCTTTTTTGAGAGGAGAGAGGACTTAAAATAATAATTAATTACATAACTTTATAGGAATATCCCTGAACATCAATGAAATATGTAGTATGTCTGGTAGTTAAAAGCGGTTTTTAATTAAAACATCTCACAATGTATTTGAAGCAGAGATTTTAAATATCTATGACGTATTCTTGGTAATTTCTATTCATTCAAATGGAGATATTTTAATCATAGTTACTAAATCAATATTTTCGAAATTAGAAGATTTTCGCAAAAGAAAACTAGAGGCTTTATTCTTTAAATCAGGAGATTATTTTCGAAAAACAGAAAGCATTTCAGTGATATTTTCTCGAGAAAAGCTGATGTTTTCGTTCGCAGAAGCTTTGCTACTTTCTTCTAATAAAGCACTTGTAGTTAAATTTGCTGATAAGCAGTATAAAAACAACAACAAGAAATATGATCACATGCATTTGATATTATTAATCTTTTAATATTCGTTCAAAAAAAATATACAAGTAAAATTTAAAAAAAATTGATTTATAAACTGATATGAAACGAAACAAAATAAACATATAGTAACAACATGTTATTTACTGTACTGTCTGTTGCACTTTTGCAACATGAAAGTATTTCTCTGATGACCGGATTGGTTTCAATCAATTTGGTTTATGTAAAAGATATTCATAAGATTCTGTACTCATTGAAATAGCTGTTCATCTTAGTTTTTTAATTTAGCACTAATAGGTTCACGTTTCATTTTATTTTGACCACTACTCCACAAAAATTTCTGTGATTAAAAATAGATTCTTAAAGAGGCATTTGATGGTTGTTTTTTTGCTTTTCTTGTTGACTAAACATGTCGCTAAGAGTCGATTTGAAAAAAAAAAAACAACAAAACATAAGAAAGGCTTAAAAACCAGAATTCTCCTGAACAAATCAAGAGATTTGATAACCTTGATTTTAATTCAAGATGTGAGAAATATGGAAAAAATTCGAATATACAAGATTTGTGGTTTCATTCATACATCGTTGGATAGAATTTAATAAATCTGTCACGAGTATTTAGGTTTTAAATTTTTCTATCGTTTTTTAAGAGAAAAAAAACTGAAAATATCCGAAGGATGTAAAAATATACAATAATCACATTTAAGAAACATTCAGATTTTTTACCGTTTCTATTGCCGAAACTTTTCTAGTTATATTTTGTTGTTATTTACTATCTAAAAATAAATAGAACACATCATATTTTATTGGCTTTGGACATAGAGATCTATTCGGCATGGCTGTGCCGGACTTCCTACTAAGATCTTTTATTACTATACTTTGCAAACTTATCTATGTAGGTTTTTGTAGGAAGAGATCAAGCCATATATTTCGTCGAAAAACATTTTTGAATCC